AGCTGTCCATTTTGTTTTAATCTAGGCCGTCCGTGCGATTTCATCTGGGTCGTCCGTACGCACGCTTGATCTGGGCCGTCCGATCGCGCGTACGCGGATCGCCAACGTGGCCCGTCCCCGGTCAACGTGGTTTTGCCACGTGGCAGGTCCTGGTTGGCCGGGACTGCTGACTGGGTCTGCTGACGTGGCCCCTTTTTTTTTTCCTTCTTCAATTTCCCGGGCGTTACAGTCCACGCGCGGGAGAACAAATTCGGATCGTCCGATTGCGGGCACGCGGATTGCCAGTATGGTCTCTTGCGTGTCACAGAGTCAGCGTGCCTTATAACGCGGCGCGCTCCAATTCATCGGGGCTGCTGACTGGGCAGTCATACGTGACACATTTTTCTTAAATTATGTTTTGACACTCAATTTCTAATTTTGTTTTAAAAATACTCTTTGAACCAAAAATTTTCCCTATTTTTTTAAAAATTATTTTCAATTTCATTCTCAACTTATTTTTTCTTGATTTTTACATTAAAAATTAAAATTCATAAATTTAAAAATTATATTTTATACATTAATTTTAAAAAATTAATTCTAAGTATTACAGTTAAAATTATTCTCATACCAAATTCCGGATCCGAATATTAAATATATCATTGGATTTTAATTGATAATAATAGAAATTAAATACACCTACTATCTTTAAGGGTATCACATGGCTCTTGTATGTATAATTGTATATATACATATCTATCTATATATCAATATATGCGCGCAAGAGGTAGATAGTCTTTAATTGAGTTTGTTTATACATAAATGGACTAATCTATATTCTATTTACTATAAAAAAAACATACTATAATTTAAAAAAAAATTAAATTAAATTAATTTATCAGTGTACTTTATCTAAAACTTATAATTCTTTGATAATCAAACAAGTTTCATGGCTACTCAAAAAATTGTTTAAGTAAATATATATATATATATATAATTACATTATAACTCAACATTTATGTTTATGGGTATTTTTTATTATTAGATCTATTAAACCTACACGTATATAGGCCTATACATATAATTAATATAACCGTGAATGTATAATAATTTAGATATAGTATCTCAAAGACACCATAATCAAATCCTTCAACCAAGCAGGACAGACATATACATATATATATATATGTATGTGGAGCATTGATAGGATTTGTTGACTTATTCTTCTTCCAACTTTGACAAATGGAAGAAAAATAATAATAATAATAATAATATTATTATTATTATTATTATAAATTGAAAATATTGTAGGAGAAATAAAGGCAGAAAAACACCGGTAGAGAAGGGACGAAGCGGCTAATAAATATTTCAGTCGTTGTCTCCAACGGCATCCCACGTGAGTTTAATTCATTTAATCAACCAATTTTTATTTCCATTTTTTCTGCCCTCCTACTTGCATCTTCTTGGTGCATTCCTCTATATTCTTAATGACCATGTTCCCTTTCCTATATATATATATATATATACACACACACACACACACATACATACATACATACATACATACATACATACATACATGTACAGCTAGTTTTGTCATGTCTTCAAATTTATACCTTATTTGTCTCTATCTCAAAGTATAAAAGAACATGTCTTTTGATAGTTTTTGATCAGATTTAGTGCCGGGATGACAAGGTATTGATGCATCCGGAGTATCATAAAAAATATATATATATATATATACATGTATGTTTTGTATGTATATATGTATAAACTTATTTATATTAATTACAATAAATATATACTCAGTTTACAAATAAATAGCAGTACGAGCCAACATGTTAGATTTGATTCGATTTTTTTATAACTTAATTTTAACGCATGTGGGTGGATTAGATATTAATTTACGGTTAATATTAATTTTTTAGAATATAATTTACTCTAATGAAATATGTATAATATAATATATTAATATATATATATATATAACATTTTGAAAGTAATACCAATATTTAAATTACTAAAATGTTTATAGTTAAAATAAAACTCGAGAGTCATAATTTATTTTTGTTAATATGTACTTTCGTGTTAATCAATTTTAAGTCAAATATTTTTTATTCTTAATTGAATTTGCTTAGTTAAATCTTACCACGTGTTTATTTGAGATTGTTATAAAATTACAGTACGAAATGTTTTTTTTTTATAAAATTCGATTATGATTTTTTATATGAATTTATTTATAAATTTAAATTTAAAATAAATTAATTAAATTTGTTATAAAAAAAATTATTTAAGAATATTATATTTGATATATTTAGAAAACAAAATGGTATTGTGTAAAAAGTAAAGTAGTTGTCACTTTTAAAACCATAGCAAGAAAATGACAGCAAAAATTTGTAACTCAAAAAGGACATAAACACATGCAATAAAGTCGAGACCTTGACAACTTTAATTGAATTTCATTTCTTTTTTTTTAATAAAAATTAAACATTAAATTAATTGATTAAGTTAATATAATAAATAGTAAATAGTTACCAGAATTTTAGGACAGTATAATAAACATATAAATGTATTATTTAAACAAAAAATATTGTAATGGTGAAAAAGATACTTCATATACTAAATTAATTAGTTGTTATGCTATTTTTAAATATTTAAATTAATATTTTTTTAATTATTTTATTTTTTAAAATATTTATATTAATTTATATCTATAAAATATCATCGAAACTACTAATGAATATGTCGCGTAAAAATATTCTTTTAACTTGTATTTTCATCAATACTTTAATCTACGAGTTGGATATGTTACGAAATTTATGTAGTGTTAATGAATGTTGATTAATATAAGTAATAATTTAAATATTTATATAGTTAAAAAAGTAATAAAAATTATAATTAAATATCCAAATATTAAGGTTAATTTATTCCAAATTCAAAGAAAACTCAAATAGATAATTCGTTTGACATAAAGAAATTCAAAAATTAGAAATTAAATTCTAAGCTGCTATACATACATACAAACATACATACAGACATATATATATATATAATTTCAAATATGGCATTTGATATGGCCACAGCTTCCCATAGTAAATATGATTACTGGCTTTTATCTAGCTTCTTCTACTTTCTTACTTCACGGTGCATAATATGGGTCTGACGTAATTAAGAATAATATACATTTTTATATCGGTATAACATGAATATATATATATATATATATGTACATAAGTATGTGTATATATAGGTCATGAATGAAGCAGTGCAGGCCAGTTGAATGAATCGGGACCCATGAGCAGTGAACAGAGAAGCTATTTGTGAAGTTTAATTATAGGGGGGAGCAATTTATGGTATTTATTTAATTTATGAGTTACAAAGCGCTGCAGTTAATTTCCTTGTAATATTTTAAATATATATATATATATATGGACCACTTTATTAATTAATTAATTTATTAATTAAAATTGAAGGAATTTATTTGCTATCATAAAGGAATTTTGGGCTGGCACATGCTGTTAGATGTGCTTGCTTACTCAATCGAGGAACAACATTCAATACAATACCTGGGTACAATTTTAATCAATATTTTGATATATATATATATGTGTTACATGTATTATAACTTATTAATTAATGTAGAAAGATAAAATAATTAAAAAAGAAAATTTTAATTTAATTTTGAGATTAACTATTAATTATAAATATATAATTAAGTTTCTTAAAAAGACCTAAAGTACAATTGGCAAAATAATCACACATGGGATCTCACTATATTGCTCCAAATCTTTGTTTTTGTCTTTTTCTTCTTTTTAGAATTACATATACATCTATATATATACACACTTATATATACATATATGTAATACTAATAATAATTTTGTAGGGAATACAATCTAAATCCTGACCAAATATGTATATCTTGTGGGATTATTTATTCTATATTTATATATAATTCGAAATTTTTATTTTGATATTCTTAGTAAAAATATTTATTAGGGTTTTTAAGAATATTTTCTTATTTATTAAAATTTTCAAAATTAGTAATTAATTATTTTTTATAATTTTAAATACAAATTTATTTACTTTGATTAATATACAAATAAAAGCAATATTCATAATTCCTTATTTAATTTCCCTAATTAAATGTCTTCAACAAGCTGCCAAAAAGGGTTACTACCCCTTCATTATGACCCTACAGTGCACTTAATGTCTAGGGTTTTCAAGTTGCGACACAATTACCAACCAAATACATACATATATACATACATACCTATACATACATATATATATATATATATATATATATATATATACACGCACACCACCGTAGCATGTGTGAGAGACAAGGGTATAAATGCAAAGTCCTTGTCGATCAAAATTTGATGAACTTAAGACAGATCATAATATTTTGCAGCACCTTACGTATTAATTAGACTCTCTCAATAGTCTCAACAAACCACATCTATATATGTATTTGTATATATGAGATTTAACATTCAGATGAGTTGTATATATATATATATATACACACAGAGAAGAGTTTCTATGTGTGTATGTATATGCATGTATATAATTAGGTATACTTTTATTTATGTAGTGTTTGTGGTTAGCATTAATTTCTATGGAAGCATTTTTCAAGATGGGCGTTATTAACACTCAGAAAATAAAAAGATTAGCTTTCAAAATAATTAATAAGTCTTTGTTGTTGACATGAACTTCTCTCTCTATATATATATATATAATCCAGATATATATATATAATAGATTTTTAGATATCCAAATATAAATATTTAAATAAAGAAAATATATTTAATGGGTAATTAATTAGACAACTAGAAGTCTATTTTTTTTTTCTTGAATTAATTAAAATAAAATTGAAAAACGTTACCAACCTGTAAAAAAATATATATATATATTTTTTTAAGAAAAAAAGGGAAGAAACAGATAATGAACAAAACCAAACAGTGTCCAATAGGATGGCAAGCTGCATGCACACCTTATTGGGTTATGAAATCCATCAATGGATTCAACAATAAGAAAACTTGATAAACAGTGTGCAGAGGGAAAATAATCAAATTACCCGGAAATAAATGTAAATATTTATCTCCTCCCAACCCCCCAGCCAATATTTCTTTTTTTACCCCGAAAAAAGCAAGTAATTAAATTAATTACCTTTTAAGTCTCAGTTTTTTTTTTTCTTCAACACCCTTTAATCTGGCATCTTGAAAGTGGCTGGGTCTTCGTGTTGGATCCACCCGTATTTTTCCATGAAAGGGTTTGCAATTGACTCTGGTGGGTAATTTGCAATAAAGTCCTTCCAAACGTTTCCTTCTGCATTCAAGTCCCTCATCACTTCCCACACTGCACTGTTGCACTTAAACCCAGCTCCGAAACTGATCATCAAAACTCTGTGACCTTTCTTCAGCCGCTTCTTGGCTTCCATGTAAGCCAGCACGTACCAGAGACTGCTCGCCGACGTGTTGCCGAATCTGTGCAGTGTCATTCTCGCCGGCTCGAGGTCGTATTCGGTCAGATCGAGACTGTACCCTATGCCGTCGATCACAGCTTTACCGCCGGTGTGAATGCAAAAATGTTCGATGCCGGTCCTGAAGTTGACGGCAGCTTTCATGGGTCCTCCGGCGGCGGCTTTCCCGGGGTTTCCTCTGAGTTTTTTTATGAGAGAAACCACCATGAACCTCAGCAGCTCTCTCACCGGCAAGATCTTGGGAGATATCTCTCGGAGATTGTCGACAAACGCCCGTGTTGCTGACTTGGGAAGATTCTTCCCTAGGTGAAAACCAGGTCGGCCCTGGTCGTCTTCCGTCTGGATGCAGCAGTTGTAGGACTCATCTCTGGCGCCATGGTGGGTTCGAACCAGACACTTGAGTTTAAACATGGCTTTGTTTTTCAAAGCTCTCTTGTTTGTCAACATCATCGCGCAGCCACCGGAGCGAAAAAGACAGTTAGCGAGAATCATCGATCTGTCATTCCCGGCATACCAGTTAGGACTCAGAGACTCAGAGGTGACAACGAGAGCGTAGACATTTTTATACGATTTCAAGATGTTGCGTACGACGTCAACCGAGATCAAGCTGGCGCTGCAGCCCATTCCGGTCAAGTTAAAGACTTTGACATCGTCTCTAAGCTTGAAATGGTTCATGATTCTGGCTGCCAGAGACGGAACAGAAGCCAACATCGAGACATTAACGACTAACACATCGATTTCCTGCGGTGAGACACCGAGTCTGGACAAGAGTTTTCCGACACTGTCGTGGAAAAACTCTTCCATCTCGACAATGCCGTCGGATAAAGTAGGGTTTTCTTCATGGCCTGAGAACATGATTCTGGGAGCGTAGGTTTCCTCGCCAATGCCAGAACTGACAATGGCTTTTAAAAGGAACTTATACTCGCTCAACCCAAGAGTCTTGTTCCTCTTTATAATCTTGCCGCAGAGCTCGGTGTCAACCATTCTGTCATCACTGGGTTTGTAACACTGGTAATCTAAAATGTAACAGTCCAGGTCTCGTTTGAGATCGAACCATTTCCACACCGTGAAGAGGAAAGAACAGAAAAAGAGGACGTACAAGAGGAAGACAAGATCCATTGGAGGAGAAGATAAGATCGGATAGAGAAGAAGAAGAAGGGTTGTGGTGTTTCCGTGAGAACAAGCTTTGGTGAGATGGGTAATGAATTAATGGAACATATATAAGGAGGAGGAAGAAGATGGAAGAGGATTAAGAGGGTGAGTTGGACATGTGAAGATGCTCCAAAAGACCCACAGGGCGATCATATCGCTCAACCTCCACCAAAACCCATTTGTCTCTCTAAACTTTTTTCTATGCATCTTTATTACTATAAGCTCGAAAAACTACAGAGCATTTAGTAAGCGTTAGTGATAAAAATTAAAAAAGTCAAGTTGAAAACGACACCGTTTCGTTTTCGTCTTCTTGTCTTTAGCAATTCTTTCTCCTCGTAGCTACAAGGAAAAAAGCCCAAGTTATATGTAGCCTATGCCCATCAAAATTTTAATGGTAATTAGATATAGGGTCTTATTTTATTTTTTATTTTTTTGCATATTAAGATTCATATATTATTATTATTATTATTTTATGTGATCTCTTTCAAGAAAGATACTTATAGAATAAAATTGAAGTAATTAAAATATAAAATAATTTTTTTCTCAACTGAATTAATTTTTGTTAAATATATTTGGGGTATACGTATTTTTGGTTGTGTAAAATCTATTATATCTATTTTGTTTGAATTTATATTTACATTTTAAATGAAGAAATTTACTTAGACGTTAGAGCATATACTAATAATATAATATAAACTTCATTTACACATAAGGGATGTGTATATGTATATATATATAATTAAGAATATCTATATTTGCTTGTCTAAAATACATTTAAATTTCTAGACCAACAAATATTGAATTGTTCATATTTAAGCTACACAAAAATCAGCATAAATTTAAAAAAAAATACTTATCAAGAAACCAGCAAAAATATTTTTAATTTTTTGTTGAAGGAAGTAAATAGTGTTTTGAATAAACGTTATAAGAGATCAAATTCCCATCACGCTGATATTTAAAAAGTTACAAATTAGTATGTATATATATATATATATATATATGTTATCTTCAGACTTTTAAAAAAATATATATAATACATGTAGATATTACTACTTAAATGAAAAGTCATTATATAGCTCACAGTTAGGAAAGTCTAGCTAGCTTGACTTACCCTTCATTTAAAAAAGATGATGGGGTGTAAACCTAAAAAGAAGGATGATGTGGTATATATACAGAAAGAGACTTAGTTTATAAATTTATTAACTTATTATTTATTTATTATCGTAATTATTTTATATTTATTAAATATTGAATGTATATATATATATATATATATAGCTGAACCCATCTATTTTCTCGCTAAAAATAGAAAGAAAGATCAAACTGAGTGATCATTAAAAATGGTAAAGCACCATACATGCAATAATAATATTTACGCTTGTGTGTTATTTAGTGTATAATAATAATTAGCTTAAACAAAGACTAGTTAATTTTTATTTATAAAATTTATATTGTAAAAAGTAACTTCAACTAATTATTATAAACTACAATATTTTGATTCTTTTATTTTTTTTAAAAAAAATACAAACTATAAGAAATATTCTGCATTGGCCTCTCGATTGTTCAACACATAATGAAGTAATGGTCGTATATGACCAGGTATCATTTGATTACTACCTCGTTAGTTTTATAGTTACTTATTTAGTGTTTTTCACTTAATTTATTTTAGCTTTTATGTATTAATTTTATTTAATTTCAATTCTAACTTAAGAAACTCTACAATTTTATCTAAAAATCCATTTATACTTTTATGAATAGAGCAAAAGATTGGAATTTATAAATATTTATAAGATTAGACCTACAAGTCCATTATCCAAAATAAAAATTACCATCGACGTAGGATTCTAGATATCCGAAAAACTTTCTAAAATAAAAACTCTTAGTTTTTAAAAGACCTAGAAGTCACCTTCAAAGTCTAGCTAAATAACCTTCTTAAAAGAGAAAAAATATTCTCGTTAAAAAAGACCAGCACAAAATGGATTAACGATACCACAACATTTGTAAGATTAGAAGCTACGATATTTCAAGTTATTTATATTGATGGGACCACAGTTGCGAACCCTATTGAAATCAAGTTTAAAGTAAAGGCGTTCTTTGAAACCTTTTACGTGGAGGAAGAGAGATTTAGAAAATCGTCTTGCCATTAGATTTCATACCTCGACCAAGTTAGATAATTCCTATTCAAAGATGGATAACCAAATTAGCAATGAGAAATTTCTTTATGTTGCTAAGGATATGGACCCTCACAGGGCATATGCACCAAGTGGCTATCATGCTCATTCTTCTAAAAGCACTAAGACATGGTGGGACCTAGTGTGAAGGAGATCTTTAAGGGAAAGATTGATATCTTCTTAGTGAATTATACATTTATTACCCTTATTCTCGAAAAAATATCGATTAAAAATTCTAAGACTTTGAGATAATCAATCTATGCAATGTCATTTACAAGATTATAACCAAGATCTTCATCAAACGACTTAAGATAGTAATTAGGGACCTTATCCAAATAAATCAAGCAAACTTTATTCCTAAGTATATGATAACTGACAATATTATTTGCGCCTAGAAAGCCATCAACACTATGAAGGGTAAAAAAACAAAAAAAAAATCGTCATTTAGGTGGATTTGGAGAAAGTATATGATAGGTTCAAATAGGAATTTATTGAATAATGCTTTAAGTTCGTTGGTCTTTCTTAAGGTTAGATTAAATTTATTATGAAGTTCATTAGGATACCTTAAATGCATATCAATGTCAATTGGTTGGGGAGAGGTCTATGAGGCTTTTGTGTCTACGTGTGGAATTATGCAGTGTGGCCCTATATCCCTTTATATTTTTGTTCTCTTCATTATGATGATTTTTCTTGCTGAGAATCTCATCCTCTTCTCATAGGTAGATATGGCTTCGATGATGTTGATCAAAGAATGTATTAAGGCTTTATGTTAGGGCTCTAGCTAGAAGATTAATCTCTCAAAATTTTGGATATACTTTTCAAGAAATGTGAACAAAATTACAATCTATAAAATAAAATAAATCAACTATATCCCCTCCAGTAATGATCTTGGGCGGTACATAGAAGTCCCCCTTCTCCATGCCATAACCAACAACAATATTTATCATAATATTGTTGATTAGGTACAAATTAAGGTTGCTAGCTAATAAATCCCTCACCTTTTGATGATTAGTAGGATTACCCTTGTAGATCTATGTAATCCTCCATTCTTGCGTACTCTATGCGGAAGGTTTCTCTCTGTAAAAGCTTTGATACTTATGAATGTGAATTAGGTTCATGATTTGATTGCTTATTTATATTAATGTACGTAAAATATATTAATATCATCGATATTATTAATTATATTAACTTTTATTTATAATGTATTATAACAATATCACTGTTACATAATAAATATTTTGTCGAATATAATTTATTCATATACAAGTTGAGTCTAATAGTATGCTACTTTTCGAATAAAGATAATTATAAGATCTTTATCATGAAATTACTAATAATATACAATATATATATATATGTAGATATATAGATATTAAAAGGAACAAAAAGAGGATAATATAGATAGAGTAGATGTAGTTAGCTTCGTCCTAACTTACACATTTAAGAGGGCAATTAAACTCAACTAATTGTTGAGTGTTCGATTTGTGAGCTTAATTTTGACATCACATAGTTGGAGTGACACTCACGTGTTGACTTTTCATGATTTTGTAATTTGGCATTCACGTACAACTTTTGACTTTTTGACTTTATTTAATACCAATTCAATTGAATTAATCACGTGAACAGAAGAATGCTACTCTTTTAGGTGTATTTCGTTGCTAACATCTTGGCCCCACCCCCCCCATAAAAAATAAATTTCTTTTTAAAAAATATATATATATATTATTATTTCATACATTGAAAATAATAATTTACAAATTTTCTTAACTTGTTTATATATATATATATATTATTAATTCATGAAAAGACAAACATTAAATTTAGTTAGGCGATAGAATTGACCCGATGAAAACTCTGAGTAAAGTCAACAGAGAAAAACTAAAACTATTGGCTAATTAAAGATTCAACTTGCTCAGCTGCCTTGGACTTAACACCATTAATATTTCGTAATTATTATAAATAATAATAACATTATCCTGACTCATTTAAAATTCAATAATATATTATATTATTCTATAAAGTCGCGTTCCCCAACATTAATTTTTATCTGAATATTATTGTTCGCTCTATTTATAATTATGTAATTTTGGTTTAAAATACCATATAATATCAAAGTTCGAGACATTAATTTTAAGTTGGTACTGTTTTCATCGTGTTCATTAACATACTGGGAAGCTTTTCATATTTAGTCATTTTCATTTTATATATATATATATATATATGTATATATGTATATTGCTGAAGATGATCGCATGAATTCAGATAACTTCACATTATATAAGTACACCTACCTTAGCTAACTTGATCCATAATTTTATCACGACTAAGGTTATAAGAGAACTTAGGAAGAAAAATAATTTTATATATGAAAATCCAGAACAAGTATTGGGAAATTTTATTGACTTCCAGTCTCGCCATACACACACACACACACACATATATATATATATGTGTGTGTGTGTGTAGTGGAATAATATAAATTAATTTATAAATAAATTTCATATTATTTTAAAGTTTATTCCAAAAATAATCTTATCATTCTTCTTTAAATTTTTATGACGTCGGACAGTTTGCTTCGATTTATTAAAATACATTTTGAATATTTACACTCAATTAACCAATCTAATAGCTACTTTTTTTTTTTTAATTTTTGTTATTTAATATAATCTTAAAGCATCCTGAATTAGTATTGGAGCATCCCCTCTTACATATCTACTACATACGCATACATATATATATATATACATATATATATACAGAACTATATATGTAGTAGCTAAATACGTAATGAACCAACTTCGAAAGTTCTGATTTGTATGCACAACTTTAATCAACCGAATAATTAATAATATTAATTTGCATGTGATAATTCGCACGTAAACATGAGAGCTACTTTGACCTAGGTCAAGGAACTATACTACGTACACACACACACACACACACACACACATATATACACATTCCACTTTTATGCTGCTATCAACTTGCTGTTTAGGCCTATAGGAGATCAAGTAGTC